TTTTTTAAAAAAATATATATATATTTGCATACAGAATTGGGGTACAGGCCAGAGGTGTGGGGAGTGAGAGGATCCACCAGAAACAGAGTGGGGAGGAGAACAGGCAGATTGACGACGTTCACTGCTGAGGAGAGCAGTGGGCGGGTCAGGAGAGGTCTGCCACGCCATGTGGTCACCTCCGGGGCAGGCAGGGACCTAACTCATGTGGAAGTGGCTTTAACTTCTTTGTGCTGTGCTTTAACCCACTGCGCCACCAGGGAGGGCCCAATAAAAATATTTTTAATTAAAAGAAAAAATTCTGGTTCTAGCATCATAGGTTCAAGGCAAGGGGCCCATCTCCTATCAGGAGGGTGACTGCTGGGCAGTTACTGAAACTCAATGCCTGATCTGTGGAATGGTGAATAAATATTTGGTCTGTAAGGTCAATAGGATAGAGCGGTGCCCCCAAGCCCCACCTCCCATGAAAGTGCTGAGTAGCAGGAATAGGCCAATGGGGTTTTCTCTTGCTGCTCCAAGCCCACTTCCAGGCTTGGCTTCTTTCTAGCTCACTGAACTTTGACAGCAGCCCTGGGATGAATAGTTGGGCCTTCTAACACTCAGAGGTGCAAGGACTTGTCTAAGGCTACTCAGCCAGGGAATGACAGGGCTGAGGCAGGACCCAGGCCAGGGTCCTCCCTGGCTCCAAAGCCTCCGTCCTCCGTCCTCATTTCAGAAAAGTCTAGGAATTTTATATTTGCCCTTCTGCTCCCCCTGGTCCCCTCTACTGACATGGCAATGATTGATGGGGCTGCTACCATGAATTTCCACCAGGCAGGCTGGCGACTGTGATTTTCAGTGGCCAGATCCCTCTCTTACTTCAAATCTTCAGAGATGGGAGTTCAGTGACAGGAGATGAGTGGATAAGGGGGACAGAAGCCCAGTGAGGGAGGACAGTGGGGCACAGGGGTCTCAATGGGGCTCATGGGGATGACTGAGTTCTGTGATAGGGACAAAAGCTTGGTGGGGAGGGGACTCCCACGAAAATGGGCAACCAGCAGGGAAACTGGAGAATCAGGACTGCATTACCACCCCCCACCCCCCCCCCCACCCCCTGGCTTGGGGAAGCCTATCACATTCCCCTGTTCCCACCTCTGGGCCAGTGACAGAGCAGGAGAAACTATCCAAGGGAAATGCAAAATGCAGCCTCCTCCCACCAGGAAGCTGGAACTAAACATACCCAGCCTCTCACCCTGGCCCTGGGCTGCCCCAGCCAGGGAGCAGAGTTCAAAACCAAAAAAAGAACGCGAGGCTGAGGAAGACAGACCCGTGGGGAGAGTGGTCGAGTTCAGCAGGGCTTCCTAGCCCTCTGGGTGGAGGTGGCTGCCGTCCAGGGTGGCTCAAGGAGTAGCGGCCCCGGGGCCAGAGTCCCCTCCACTAGCACATCCTGCTGTGGCTGAGTGGCTGCTGGCCACACGAAATTCACTCTCCTTCCCCTGCTCAGCTGTGCTGCTGAGATTGAAACAGGGGCTGGACTTGCTGCACCCCAGGAGTCATGGGACCCAGGATAGGTAAGTCCAGAGCAAGTTTGCAAAGGGCCATGGGCAGGGAGTGTGGGAGCCAGTTCCCAGGACAAGGGTGCAGTTGGGAGCCGAATGGGTGTGTTGGGGTGGGGTGGAGGAGGACTGGCTGTTCCCCACAGGGCGCCAGGCTCATGCAGACCTAGTAAATGTTATGTTGCACGAATGAGTGAATGAATGACTGGAGGGGCAGGGTGGGTGGCTGTTTACTCGGCTGGAGACAGGGAGCTCGCCTAACTTCCCCGAGGAAACTGAAATCAAGAGGGCAAAGGAAAAGCAGAACCCTGAGCCCGACCCTTTTCCCCTTCTCTGAAAGAGACAAAGCAGAGAGAGAGAGAGATGGAGAGGAGCCTAGCAAGAGACAGCAAGTGCAGAAATAATGACAGAGCCGAGACGAGACGGAAGGACAAGCGGGGAGAGGCAAAGTGCAACAGGTGCCTGGAGGGGTGCCCAAGGAAAGGGAAGTGAGGAGGGTGCAGGAGAGACTGGAGCAGAGACGCTGAG